CTCAGTGGAGGAAAGATAGCCTCTTTAATAAATGGTGTTGGAAAAACTACATTTCAACCTGCCAAAGATGAAAACTAGACCCTTATCTTTCACCATGTACTAAATTAAAATTCAAGTGGATTAAGGATCTAAACATTAAAACAGAAACACTAAACTTGCTGGAAGATAAGTTAGGAAGAACTCTTGAAGACATTGGCATAGGAAAAGACTTTTTGAACAAATCCTCAGTAGCACCGGAACTAGCACAAAGAATCAACAACTGGGATCTCATCTTATTAAAAAGCTTCTGTACTACAAAAGAAACCATCAACAGAACTAAGAGACAACCTACAATGTGGGAAAAAGTTTTTACCAGCTGCTCCACAGACAAAGGACTATTATCCAGAATATATAAAGAACTCAAAACAATAAGCCCCCCACAAATATAAAGCCCCAATTCATAAATGGGCATCTGAAATGAACAGACATTTCTCAGGCAAAGAAGTAAAAGCAGCAAGTAAATATATGAAAAAATGTTCCACATCACTGGTCATTTGAGAGATGCGGATGAAAACAACACTGAGATTCCACCTCACCCCACAAAGAATGGCTGCTATCCCACAAAGAATGGCTGCTATCAAGAAATCAACCAATAACAAATGTTGGCAGGGTTGCGGGGAGAAAGGAAACCTACTCCATTGTTGGTGGGAGTGCAGACTGGTGCAATCACTATGGAAATCAATATGGAGATACCTCAAAGAGCTGGGACTAGAGGTTCCATTTGACCCAGGCATCCCTCTGCTGGGTATCTTTCCAAAAGAATTAAAAGAATCATACCGCAGTGATATATGTGCACCAATGTGTATAGTGGCACAGTTTGTAATAGCTAAAACTTGGAAACAGCCCATTTGCCCATCAGTTGCAGTCTGGATAAAGAAGATGTGGTTTTCCTGTAAGATGGAATACTACTCAGCCATAAAGAATGAGAAATTAGAGTTATTCATAGGAAAATGGATACATATTGAGGATATACTCCTAAGTGAAATAAATAAGCCACACATGTGTAAATACTGAATAGTTTCTCTGGTGTGAAAAACTATAATAGTACATAAGATCCTAATGAGATAATTGACAGTGTGAAATAGGAAGGAAAGAGCTAAAGGTGTAGGGAAAATGGGAAGAGTAGGGGAAAGGTAAGAAGGGAAAAGAAAAAATGTGAGAAAATGAAAAGATGGAAATAAAGTGTTTGTAAATGGGGAAGAGGGGAGGGGGTGAAGGGAGGGCACGGACAAGGGGAAAAAATGAGAACCAAGACCTGTCATGTAAAGGTACAAGATCCCAATAATGAACATAATTGTCCTGTATATCTTAAATGTACCAATAAACTCAATTAATAAAAAATAAATAAAAAGAAAAAAGATTTAAAAAAAGAGTAAGAAAAGAGAAGCTATGAAAAACTAGAAAGAAAATTAATTTCTAACTATAGTTGGGCCTCATACTTGTTTTAACTTCATGGATGATTCAACGTATAGTGTGGTAGTTCTCTCTCGCCAGGATTTATTTCTATCTGTAGTTTTCCAGAGCCCTTTCAACTTTAATATTATCCATCTCTTGGTTTTGTGCTTTACTAACATACTATTCAAAGTGTAATAGGGAGTGTTGGTTCTATTCAAGGGACTTATTTTATTTCAGTACACAGGATGGTTAAGAACTCGGGCTTCTGAGTCAGAAGGGCATGGATTGGAATCTGGGATCATCAACTTCCTAACTACATGATTTTTATGTCACTCAATCTCTCCAAAGCTCAATTTTCTCATCTATAAACTAAGAGTATCAATAACAAACACCTATAGAATTTTAAAAGCATGAATGAAATAGCATATAAAAACATTCTTGGCACAAAATTACTCAAAAATAGTAGCTACTATTTTTTAATTGAGTTTATTGGTATATTTTAGATATACAATACAGTTACATTCATTATTGGGATCCTGTACCTTCACATGACAGGTCTTGGTTCTCATTTTTTCCCCTTGTCCCTGCCCTCCCTTCACCCCCTCCTCCCCTCCCCATTTACAAACACTTTATTTCCATTTTTTCATTTTCTCATATTTTTTCTTTTCCCTTATTACCTTTCCCCGACCTTTCCCACTATCTCTACACCTTTAGCCCTTTTCTTCCTATTAGTAGCTACTATTAGTGTAATTTGTTCATTACTTTTCATTAGTAAAAATTATATTTTTATAGAATATAATGCTATGCAGTATTATATAATACACTATTACTCTGTGTTATGGTACATAATATGCTGTGTATAGTATAGATTATAAATTAGTATATAATGTTTTATATTATTGGATTTAAACTCATCAGTTCAGTAATAAAAACTTTGTAAAACTGGGTTGTGTATATTATGTCTTTGAAATAAACTTCTAGCCTAGAAAAACAAAATACATTCTTTATAATGCCTTTCACATAGAATTTTAGTGATTGGTCTGGATGACTTTCAAGGCTCCCTGTTGTCAGAAAGAGAACAGTGAATTTGATAAACAGCAGGACAGACTAAACCTACTGGGAAAAAGAAGCAGAAACTACACTGACCTTCGAGAGGGATGGGGCACTATTGTCAGAGGCGCCTGAAGATGAGGAAAGAAGTCCAGTGAAGTTGGAAGGACTGAGGACAGTGGTGCTGGGTAGTTGGTTACTCTGAGAGGCAGGAGCAGCTGGGGAGCCCAGAGGGAGCTGTGCACACACAGCAGAGTCACCAGGCGAAATGTGTAAATGAGATATATTACTGTTCTTATGATCTGATATTCGTGAGTTCTCTTTCTGAGTCAAGGACTGTTGGGAATTGCGTGTCTTTGCTTATTTAACCCTTTTAATACCTACCTAGCACAGTGAGAACCAATTCCAAACAGGAATTATTTGTCAGATCTCTTTGGGTTGCAGTATTTTTAATCTCTGATGTTGTATTGTTTATATTTGGATGGCCAACTTGGGTAATTTTTTATACCCTTCCTGTTTATCATGCTTATATTTTCCTTTACATATATGAACCTATGAAATAAGTTACAATAATTATTTTAATGATTGTTTGCTAGTTCTATCATCTGTTTCTAGTTTGATTGATTTGTCTACATATTAAGGGTATCATTTTCCAGTTAAATGGTGATTAATGTTGATTGAATGCCAGGCATTGAGAATGTTACTTGTTTGGATGCTGGCTAGTCATCTTCTTAAAATATATACATGAGCTTGATCATAGGACACAATTAAATTACTTTTGACAGTTTAATGTTTTTGAGACCTGTCTTTCATTGTGCTTCTGGGGACAGAGCCCAGGACAGTGATGGTGAACTCTTTAGAGCTTTTATTGATTACAAACAGCCCCACAGCTGCACATGTGCCATAGGTCTGCCACCACTGGCCTAGGATTTCACACATGCTATACATGCAGGAAAGCACTGAGCTTCAGCGTTTTAAAGCTTTTTTTTTAAAAAGGTGGTGCCAGAGTAGGATTCAATTAAAAAAATTTTTTTTCATTTAAAAAAACAAAAACAAAATTTCCCAACCAAATAAGGGAATAACAATTGTCATTACTCTGTATATCGTTGTCTTCAAAGCAGTTACTCAGTAGATGATATAAACCAAAAAGATTCTTACCAAAAAGAAATAGATAATAATAGACACTTTCTTTTCAAGGAACTAAGATAAACTATTAGTATAAATGAATCAAATTAGCCCATATACTGAAACATTTTAAAACAATAGAATACGTAATTTGGGGAAGTATTTGAATGCGTCCCTGCTTCCTACTTATCTTTTTCATTTAAGGCTAATCTTGCTCATGAGTGAACACTCAGTACCCTTTTGAGTATTCCACTTGATGCCATTTTACTACTCTGAGTGAAACAAACAGCAACTATTCTTGCCTTGAGTGAGCCCCAGTGATTGTTCTGCAGGTCTCTTTCAGGTGGTTCTTTGCCTAACTTTCAGCTGTTTTACAGACATGTGCAGTGACAGAACTCAGGGGAAGACTTGATGAAGACTTCTGAAACCCCCCGGAGCTCTCTTCATGTATCTTTCCCCTCTCCTTCTTTGCCCGAACTCCAATTGTTCTCCTCAAACCTCCAATTCTGTTTCCAACCTAGGAGACTTGGATTCTTGCTCTCTGTGCTGCAAACTGGAAACTTTCTGCGGGAGCAAGCTCCACTAACTACTCTTATGACTCACCTCATTGACTTCAGTCAGGACACTGTCCTATGACACCTGCTATCCAATGTCTGAAAATCAATTTTTGTTTTATTTGTTCTATTTTTTAATTGTTATTCACAGGAGTCCGTTAGTCCATCTTAGATTCAGAAGTCCTTGAATATGTTTTTACCAAGTTACTAAAGGTACAGCCTGGGTGAACACATGATTTGTATCCTTAAATGCAATACACACAGTTTAATCAACTGTTTTATGGCCACATAACATTCCACCTGGACTCGTTCTACTCTTCATTTTAAGGTCCGTTGCCTGCCATATCCCATTTTCATGTACAAATTTATGTGCTGGCCGTGGCTCTTAAAGCTGAAAGCCTAGAATTTCTACTCAAGCTAGTTAAAGGAAAATGTCCTTTTAGCTCGGTTAGCGAAACATCTAGAAAACTGGATTGGATTCAGGCTTGGAAAAAATGGGAGGGAGTTTCCAATGATATGAGAATGATTTCCACTGATACCTCTAGTTCTTGGAAACATTCTCTCCAATGGCTCCTAAAGGGCGAACAAAATTGCTGTTGGCATTAGAAGACCTACATCCAGGCAGCTAATACTTCAAGACATGTACAGTATAATAAGATTATATCCAATCATCATCACCACCATCATCATTGTCATAGAAACATATCCTTTCTGGTAGTCCCTGTAGAAATGTCCCCATGTTCCATCAGATTGGCCAGACTTGGTTCTCAAGGCCTTTTAGACCTGGTCACTGCAGTTTGGGGTGAGAGGTACTTTCATTGCCAGAACTGGCTACGTGCTCTGCCGATGTGTGGGTTATCCACAGCCAAGTGGGATGGTGTTGTCAGAAGTAGCAGTTGAGTTCCTAAGCTTTGAGATATAATGTGAAAGCTTAGTTTCAGGAACAATACAGAAATCCAATGTCACATTTATACACAAAATAGAGGATTTACCTTGAGGTAAAAGTGTCACCTGACTTATTGAATAAAGACCTAAATCTTGGACTAAAAACTGATTGGTCAAACAATATTGCAGATGTGGTAAAGTTTACTAGCTGAAGTCATGTGACCTGACCTGAGAAAAGAAGATAATATCAGCACAGAGATAATATAGCTGTTCTTTTAACACTGAGGTTCTGTAATAATACAGGACCATTAATTTCATTAACAAAACATTCCTAGTATCCGAACTCCTGGCATAGAAACATAGGTGAAATGTTCGTATTCTCTTCAAATCAGAGAAATAAATCATCCCTAGGTATGCGGCAATACTTATTTGTCAACAACAAATCACATGGATTATTAAAAGGCATTTTTAACATTAAAATGAAAGCAGAATCTTATTATTCTTGGGGAAAAAGTACTGGAATTACCAGTTACATTTTGTTATTCAACTAGTAGGCCTTTTTGTTCAAATCCAGTTTGTGGCTTTAAATGCTTCAAATAATTGGTTATAACTGCCTGCCTGATGCAATGTAATACGATTTTGAAGTCATGATTAGACTTTTCTATAGTGACTTTATGTTACAAGATTAGCTCTTGTGAATGTTAGCATGATTTATGAACCAACTACAGCTGGCTCTGGTTTCAGATTTTTTTTTTTTGGCCTTGATTAAATAATATAGAATCAACTGAATTCTATTTCTTTTTTTGTTGTTGTTTCTGTTTTTGTTTTTGGTACTGAGGATCGAACTCAGGACCTTATGCTTGAGAGGCAGGTGGTGGCACCACTGAGTTAAAGCCCTGGCCCCCTGAATTTCTATTTCTATAAAGGAATTTAGGATATTGGTTACCTTTGGTGAGAAGTGGAGTCAGCAGATGACAGAAAGGAGGGTCCTATAGTTAGATAATATTAGCAATTACATAGTTCTTAAATTAGGTATAGGATTCAAAACATTTATTTCCTTTATAACATATTGTCCTTCAGACCATAAATACTCTGTCTATATTTTAAGGTTATTAAATATAACAATAAAACATTAAATAATAATGAAATGCATTTCTTTGGAAAACTGTAAGTGCTGTGAATAAAGGGTAGTCAGAAAAGCAAAATGAACTCTTAAGTGAAATAATTAAGTCACACACGTGTAAATACCAAATCGTTTCTCTGGTGTGAAAAACTATAATAGTACACAAGATCCTAATGGGATAATTAAGAGTGTGGAATAGGGAAAAAAGGGCTAAAGGTATAGGGAAAGTGGGAATGGTAGGGGAAAGGGAATAAGGGAAAAGAAAAAATATGAGAAAATGAAAAAATGGAAATAAAGAGTTTGTAATTGGGGAGGGGAGGAGGGGGTGAAGGGAGGGCAGGACAAGGGGAAAAAATGAGAACCAAGACCTGTCATGTGAAGGTACAGGATCCCAGTAATGAATGTAACTGTATTGTAGAGCTAGATTGTACCAATAAACTCAATAAAAAGAAAAAAAAAGAAAAGCAAAATGAATCAGCTCCATTCCCTAATGTTGTATGTCTGTATTCTAAATTGGACTCTTCTCCACTTTAACACACTAAGAGGTTGCACAGGGAATTGTGGGAGAGCTCTTGATGGACACATGCTGACCCTAACTTTCTTATGGATATAATTTATTTGGAACACAAATGTGCATTTGTTTCATATCCTCATGTACAAGAATGTGGAAATCATAAGGAAGAATTTCTGCACTTAACTCTTTCTTCTCTCATTTCATTCTATCCTCTTAACTTGCTCTCTCACTATTCCACTGAGTAGTTCACATTGAAATCACAAATTACTTCCACCTTGCCGACTCCAGTGGTGAGTTTTCTGATCTCTATTACAGATGAAGACTTCTTACTGGAAATGCATTACTCTCACAGTTTTTCTTCAATCACAATCGCTATTTCTGAGTATCCTCTGCTGGCCCAGTCTCTTCTGTTCTTGATTTCTAAAGTTGAATGACCTAGGTTTTGTCTTCTCTTTCTATAGTCTCTCACTAGGTGGGCTCCTACTTTGCTGATTAATCACAGGTCTCTAACACCAGTCCAGTCTTCTCTCCTCAGCCCCAAGACTGCTAGACTGGCATATTCACTCAGGTCTCAGGGGGTTCCAAAGTCTGCTAATCTACCAGATTTGTCTCTCTCAGAAAATGCTATAGTCACCATGCCAGCATCTCATGCTACAGCTTTGATTCCTTGCTTCCTCTATCACGCTCAACCATGCTTTATCAGGCACAGGCAGCTCTGCCTCTAAGATATATTCCAAACATAATCACTGTTCATTAATTCCCCTGTCATTGTTCTAGCCATAGCTTACTTAGACCCCCATTGCACGCAACAGTCAGAATTGTTTGTAAAGCATAAATATAAAATTTAACTGCACAAAACTCTCCTGTTGAAAAAAACAATACATTCTAATTATCGTGCTATGGCCAACCATGGTTATATGGCCAGGACCCCGTGGTGAGACCTTACCATTTACTACTCTTCTCTCTTTGGTCTCCCACGCACTGCCCTTTGCCCCCTCCCGTAGTTGCACAGAGCTGGACACCCTTGTAGGGGTTTCGCATGTGTCATTCTCTTCCATCTCCACACTTTGTCCCATGGTGCTATATAATTTCTTCTTTGCTTTACTCAAGTATTAACTCAATTGTCAGCTCTTCAGAGAGAATTTCCCCCAGGAGTTAGATAACACTTGACATATTAATCATAGCTATTGCATGATAATAATGATAATGATATAAATTTTGAGATGTCGATAAGATAATGTTCACTTGAAAGAACTGTGTATTTATATGCTTGCTTTTTTTCTAGAAACATTAAAGGGTAAGATGCTTATATCATGGTCCCTTCCTTTCAAATACTGTATTTTTGAAGAATAAAGGTATTTTCTTACATAACTATTGCTGTCAAAAACAATAAATTTAAATGTGACAAAATGCTTTTAGCTCATATTCCAATTTTGTCAATAGATCCACTGATGCCTTTATATAAATTTCTCTCTTCCAGAACAGGATCCCATATGCAGCCAGGATTGCATTTAGTCGTTAGCTGCTTTCGCCTCCATCTGGAACAATCTCACACTCTTTTGTGACACTGACTTTTAAAAGCATACAGTCATTGCATCCACTTCCTTTTTTTTTCAATTAAAATTTTTTTACTAGCACATGCTTGTAGCACATAATGGTCACATTACTCATGGGGAGTTGGTACATACACATAACACATCTTCATTCTTTTATTCCTTTCCACTCCCTTCTCTCTCCCTTCCTCTATCTCTTGATCCCTTTCCTATCTTCAAAAGATCCACCTCCCTATTTCCTATTCTCTATCTTTTATTTTGCTCTGTATTTATATTTGGATTTCTTATATAAGAGAAATCATGAAGTATTTAAGCTATGGGTGTCTGATTCGTTTCACTTATGGACTCCAGGTGCAAATACTCAAGTTTATTTTCCTTTATAGCAGAATAGCCAGGTGTGGTGGGCACATGCCTGTAATCCCATATTTGGAAGGCTGAGGCAGGAGGATCCCCTGCAGTTTGAGGCCAGCCTGGGCTACATAGTGAGTTCAAGGAGATCCTATCTAAAAAAATGATCTTTATGGCAGAGTAGCAGTTTATTGTATCTAAATAGCACATTTTCCTTATCCATTTATCTGTTGATAGACATATTCAGCTATTGTGAATTGTGCTGCTATAAACATGATGTCCTTAACTCTTTCAGGAAGATGTCTAGAAGGGGAATAGCTGGGTCAAGTGGAATTTCTAGTTTTAGTTTTTAAAGGAATCTCCATATTTATTTCCATTATATTTGGAGTAGTTTTCATTCCACCAGCTCTTATTAGTTCCTTTTCCCCATTGCTTACCAGTATTTGTTATTATGTGATTTCTTGATGGTAGCCATTCTTTCTGGAGTAAGACAGAATCTCAGTGTCATGTTAATTTGGATTTTTCTAATGGCCAGAGATGTTGAACAGCTTTTCATTTATTGATTGGCTATTTGTACTTCTTCCTTTGAGAAGTGTTTATTCATTTCAGTTGCCCATTTTTTGACTGAATATTTTATTTAGGGGTCTAGTTTTTTGAGTTTAATAGGTATTATAGATATTTATAATATTAGATATTAGAGATTTTATAGATATTTATAAATATTTTCTAGATATTAGTTCTCAGTCCAAAGAATAGCTGGCAATTCTTTCTCTTCAGTAGATTGTTTATTTATTGTTTCCTTTGATTTCAGAAGCTTTTAACTCGATATGATCCCATTTTTTTTTGTTTTTTGGGTTTTTTTTTTTTTTTTTTTTTTTTTTTTTTTTTTTG